GACTACCGCGACTCCTTTGTGCTAAAGCTGGCAAGCGCGGCCAGTCGAAGCTACAGCCAGCCTGGAAACCCCGACATCGCTGAATGAAGCGACACTGTAACGGTTGTTGAGCACAGACAGCCCGGTGGCCTCGCTCGGAGGCGTTCTTGATGCACATGCACCAATCAAGGATAACTGGCGACTCAGTGACTCTGCACACAGCCCAAGTTGTGCTGCTCCGCTTTTGCCACGGGTCTGACCTGGTTCGTCGACACAGATCCAAGCTTCTGAGCGTGCTTTTGCCGCCATTCTCGGCAACAGATCAGTTGTCGCTTGGGGTTCTGCAGACGTTGGTGATGACAGCGGCGATGTGACGGGTCAGCTAAAGAATATACAGCAGACCAAAGCAGCTGCCGGCACTTTCGCTGCCATTCTTGTCTTGGCGATGGATCGGTCGGTGACATGGGTCCTGTTGGCTTTGGTGGCGACAGAAGTGCTGTGCATGATCAGCTGCAGAATGTGCAGCAGATTCACTCCTCGCACGCCGCTTTCCCAGCCACACTTGGCGGTGGAGTTGACCTGGGATGTCCTAACGATGGTGGCGACAGCCGGGCTGTTCAGGATTCTTCGAAGAATGTGCACCAGATCCAAGTGGGTAAAAATGCTGTTGCTGCCGTTCTTGGTGATGGAACGGTGGTGACTTGGAGTAATCCGATTACCCCAAGTCACCACCGTTGAAACCTGCCTGTGGTGGTGACAGTTGGTGCGGCTCAGGATCAGCTAAAGAATGCACGGCAGATCCAAGCTTCACTTCAAGCTTTTGTTGCCATTCTGTCCGATGGAAGCCTCGTGACTTGGGGTAGTCCGGACCGCGGCGGTGACAGTAGCGCTGTGCAGGATCAGCTGAAGAATGTGCAGCAGATATAAGCCGCCATGTAGGGTGCTTTTGCTTCCCTTCTAGGCGATGGATACAGCGTGACCTGGGGAAGCAAAGACTGTGTGGTAGGGACAGCAGTCGTGTGCAGGATCAATTGCAGAGTCTTTGAGGAGTCTGGGCAAGTCCTAAACCCTAGAATTGGACGTGATCTGATGCAGCAGCTTGTGATGTAAAATAACTCCCAAACTGTGCGTTTGGCCTGGTGAGTGAGCTGAGTGTGACTGTTTGTCACCGGATATCGGCGACGAGTTCCGCGGGCAAAATTGCCCCTTCTTTCGACATCCGGTATGCTCAAGTCTCTTTTATGCAGCTGATCACCCTGCCTGGCAACTCGTTCAGCAATGCAGCCTTCACATAATGAGTAGAGCAGCGTCCGTGTCAGATCTTGTTATCGTACGCACATATGCTGAAATTGTTGGATAGGGACGACCCAATGAGGCCTCCTGCCCTACCGCACATTCCGCTCAAGTTGCGACTTAATGGTATGGGCTTTGCTAGTTGAAGTAGCTGTAGTATATTGTTGGTGTGTTTTGGCATTGCTCGGTCGCGCCGCGGAGTTGAATGACTCTTACGACTTTATGACTGGTGGTTGCTATGTTGGGTCCCTCCTTGTTCCGGTACTGTGAGACTTTCGCCTGAAGCTTTGCCTGCCTTCTGCGACTGTGAGAGTCGAATCCGCTTGCGCGTGTTTCTTCGTCCCTGAGTGTCGTGGCGTTGTGACCAAAGTGTTTGCAGCACTAGCACCCTCACATTGCAAGACCTGCACCAGTATCTGCGTGGACGCGGCATCGAAGTGCTCAGTAAGGGTTGAAAAATGTTGAAAAAATCTCGACATCCTGCCCGTGAATTCCCGAACATGAGGGACGACACAGACCCCCCTGAGCAGGTGGTTTTCCGTGGCCCACAACGACTTGGGCCACCCATCAGGCTCTCTTTTAGCCGCAGTTGCCTCAGCCATCCTGCCTTAACGTCTTCGGCTCGAGGTCAGGGAAACTTGTGACCCCCCGTCCTGGGCTTGAGATCGTGACAGCTTGTACCCCGAATCTTGGAAAGCTCACGAGCCAAATCCTGTCCGACCAACGATAAGCCGTCGTTGTGGATGCCTCCGGCCATACATGCATATATGTATACACATACATACGTACATACATGCATACATACGTGCATACATACGTGCAGATATGCACATGCACATACCTTGGCACACACACACAGAGACGCGCGAATTTGTGTGTGTCTGCCTGTTGTTGTGCATGTATACGTTCATGGACGTGTGCATCTGTGAGGCGCATCATAAGTACACAGTGTTTCTGTGTGTGCAGAAGAAAGTGAGTTTTTCTGTGCCCGTGACGAACATCCAGGCGCACTTTCGTTAGGGCATGCCTCCGCAAACATTCCCCGTCAATGCATACAGGAACCATACATGCTGTTGGAACCTGTTGAACTCTAAGGATTTGTTTGGATCAGCTGGCAGCTACTCTTTACAGGACGTGCTGCAATGCACTTTCCGTCTGCACCTCTTTACTCCGCGACCACTCCTTCTTGAGCTTGGAGCAGCTAGGAATCCCGAACCATAGGATGGCTTAGGTGTTTTCGCCAAGTTCCTGGCGCAGTTTCGGAAGCCTTGCAAGCACGTCCCAAATACGATTCTAGAGCTTGCGGCAGAAACCTACGCGTGGACATGTAGCTCCGAGTCGGTCCTCGCGGCAAGACCAGTTCTGTCAGGCATGCAAGGTTTCAACTGTTCTTCTGCATGCACTCGAGACAGACAGGAGCTCAGCCTTGCGTGGAATCCAAAGATTAGCGGCGGCCATGCTCTGAGCCGAAGGGGTTTCCATATCGGCCCTTGATGAGATATCAGGGTTACCTCTTAGTACCAAGCAGCCGGAACAACAGCTCAAGTGCTGACACCGCCAAACACGATGATCCTTGTGGGGCCGACCAAATACTACAGCTCTCGCCAGCCTTACGGGCGACACCATATTAGTTTCGAGCTGCTGGTACAAGAGATGATGCAATCGTTGGAGAGGTTCTGTCCCCATCGCAAGCAACACTCTGATGCTATGGCTTGTACTCTCGCATACCTTCGTTCGGAAGGCGGACGAGAATGACGAGGCTCTAAGCCGCGATGAGCTGATCGCCCAACTTGACTTGTAGACAGATAGCTGGTGACAGGCAGGAATCGAGACTGCAGGGGGAGGCAGCATTCCGCCCAAATCATTGGCAGGTGGGTTCCCTCCTACGTGCAAAATCGCATCAGCTGTCTGAAGAGAACCAATGCCATGACTCAGGTGAGATCTCTACCCTGCTTCGTGCACTGGCACGTGTTGGGCTGAAGGCAGGGGCGGAGGGAGGGAGACCGTCACAGCGTCCTCAACCTTTCTGTTCTCGCTTTGTTTGGCGAGTGTGAACCGTGTCGTATTTTGAGATGACGACCGTGTCGGCAGTTTCTAGCAGAGGGGCTTGTGGTCTGTTTCAACTCGACTGTTTGCACGGGCGCATGACTTCTGTGGGTCACGAGATAGCTCGAAGTCCGAAATCCGAAATCCAGAGCAAGCCCTGGTGATCCAGGCAGGCTACGCGAGGCTAGGGCTAGAGGCCACAGAGGCCACAATAATGTTAAAATCATAAGGATAGCAGCACCTGGACGATTCTCCAATAAAGGGGTTTGAACATGCACACGCGTCGAGAGAACGCGCCGTATGGGTGTGCCATGCCTGAGCTACACTGATGCTTGATGCCATGTCCAGAGGCCACCTAGCCAGCTCTACGACGCAAGAGGAACCGTCAACATTGCACTACGATCGCACACAAGACATCCCTATTGTACATAATGATATACATAGAGAGAGAGAGAGAGACATGATGTATGACCTCTATCAAGCAAATAGTATGTGCGAATTCCGAAGAATCCCGAAGACGAGAAAACCTTGCATGGACGTCAGGTGGGCCGCTTGCAGTTGCTCGATGCGGCAGGAACGGGTGCCGGGCCGCAGGCAGGCTCACACGTGTCTCTATAGGTGGGTGGGTGTATATATATGTATATGCAGATGTATATGTATAAGTATTCCTGATTTTAAAGCTTGAGATGTGTATTGACGTAGTTCGTGACTCGTTTGTTGCTTTCTTCATTCAGTAGTAACACAGGTATGTACATATACATCATACATATATATTATATATGTATGTATGTATGTATGTATGTATGTATGTATGTATGTATGTATGTATGTATGTACGTGTGTATGTATGTACATAGATGCCTATCTTGATGTACTGGTATGCATGTATTTATTCACTGTCTTATTTACTTACCTAATTGCTTGCATGCCTCTTCATTTGATAATTTATCCGTTTATGCATGTAGTCGTCCGTAGATAAATTGCTTTACCTGCTGTCTGATTGATTTATGAACATGTGTATTTTCTCGTTCGTTTTTTAGTTGTTCAAGCATGTGTTATTTGTCCCTGCGCTCCTTTATGTACTGTGTTTTTTCTAGTATGTACATACATACCGAATGTCGGCCCGTGCTGTGCATGGGGCAGAACGATCTTGAGCTTTCTTCAGCTCGCGTCTCTTTGGGAGGGAGAGGCCGAAGCTTGGAACCGTGGGGTCGATTGCAAGCTAAAGGAAGCGACTGTGTTTGGATGTATGGAGCGGATTCTTCGAATGCTTGTGGCCCAGTTTCTGCACACCCCTACGACCCAAGTTCCACATGCTCCTTGAAGCAGACGGGTCGGATAGCCAGTGACATCCTGAAGAGAGTGCAGATTTCACAGTTTGCAGGCGAGTCCTCATAGAATTGAGTGGCGGGTGGCTTGACCTCACTGCACTTGTTGTTCACACGCACTTAGTGGCTTCGATGGCATTGCACTTGGCAATGTATCTACGGGCCCCTGCTCCTCTTGAAACACCGTGCGAGCAAACATGCTTTCACCCGAGCTGTAATCTCGCATAAATGCACTGTATGGTAAGACTGGCATGACCAAACCCTGGTGATTGGCTGAGCCGCAGCTGTTGATCCAAGACGTTTTAAGCTTTGGAAGCTGTGTTGGAGTGCAGATTGCAGAAATGCTTCCCGAAGATGGATCACTCAAACGATGCCCATGCCGCAGCGCCGCATCGTGGTTCTGTCTGGGCGGCAGCTGCGGGCGTACTTGTTGGATTAGTCTACATCTCCATGACGTCTTGGCAGGATGCGGCGGATCCGGAACAGTTTTTGAGTTCAATTGACAGGACTGGGGTGGACATATACGCGCCAGATGCTGCATTGCTCGACATCAACGAGGAGGGCTGTATCGTTGACCAGCTTCCACGCCCGAAAGTTGTTCAGGGCAGGGACGGAACCTGGCTAGAGGTGACGTTTCTCAACGGTGATCGCTCGGCAAGTGGATACCGGACAGACCCAATTTGCAAGAGCCCCTGGCAAAGCGATGAACTAGGACGGCCGATTGTGGAGGAAACAGCAGCTATAGTCCAGCGAGCCATCCTTGTCGGCCACCCCAACGTCGGATGGCTCGACCCAAACAGCACCAGATGGATCCCTAGGCCATGCGCAAGGCCGGTTCCAAGAATTTTGCATTTTATTTGGCTTTGCTCGCCGCTGGCCATGATGCGAGCACTCCATGTTCTGGAGTTTATGAAAGCGAACCCCACTTATCGTGTATTCTTTTGGACCGACTCCCCGATACCTCCTCCAGTGAAAGCGGTTCTCGATGCAGAAGCGGAGAATCGAGCAGCAGGCGGAATTGTGTATATGGATGCTTATGCAGAGGCACGAACCTTCAAGTCTCAAGTCTTGATTAAGTACATGGACGAACTGAACAGGGACAGCATGAATGCAAAACTCTGTGCTGTCAAGTCGCATTTTTGGCGCTATGAAGCTGTGATGAAATATGGCGGCATCTACATTGACATGGACCATGGCTCGACGCGCGGCTTCGATGAAGTCGGGGGCCCGAATCTGTGGAGATGGCCATTCGTCATACACAAGGTGTGCGGCGCCAACATCAACAATCACATGTTCAGTGCAGGCAGAGGTTCAGGGTTTCTCGAGTTTGTGCTCAAGGTGATTACCGAGCGCTGCAGAAAGTTTGGTGCTTGCAGCGTATTGGAAGGGACCGGGCCACCACCCTTCGCAATGAGCGTGCTGAAGTACAATGCTTCCGACATAGGTCTTATCGGAGATCAGTTCTTCAAAGAGACGAGCATTGCAGAGCATATGGCGGAGCATACTTGGCGATGATTTATGCACCACGAATTTGCTCAATTTTCGAGCAATTGCAATGCATCAGTTTGCTCCGGATCTTGACAAAGCGATAGGCATCCCTGGCCTTCCGGCCTGAACTGTGTCTTCTGCGTGTTTCAGCAGAAGGTCATCTGCAATCAGACAAGATCCTGTGGACATCCAGAGAGGCAGGATCTGCACTTGCAAACCAAACCAGATGGTGTGTGGGCGAGGCGGATGGGAAACTCCAGCCGGCCCCAGATGGTTCAATTTGTGGCAAGGATGCTGGCGTTGAGAAGGACCGCAGCGACCGGCTATTGCCGGCCACGCGTGCCATTGCTGTGCCTCACTGGTTTTGCTGGCAGAAAGAGCTAAACACCAACATGCTTCGTGAAACGGTGCATGAGCCCCAGCTAGTCGTTGTAGGACTAGGACGTCACGTGGAGGTGCTTCCGGCAGCCGTGCGAGCGCTGATGCGGGTCGAAGGCAGGCTCAAGAACCTAGCGCGGGACTTCGGATTGTCAAAGCCAGGAATAGCTTTTATATACCGCTTCGCATCCTTTCGACTTTGGTCGGAACCGAAGGCTCATTCCTTCAAGGAGCTTTCTTCAATCATTGTACGGCAATTCGAAAATTGACACCCTGGATCCCTAAGCGTTCAACTCCGAATTCTCCTGCGATGTGCCAGGACTGGTCGTCGACCTCTCTGGTTGTGAGGGGCTCGGAGAAGGAAGCATCAGGGTTTCGTTTGGGTTCCTGAGGCACTTACAAGTTGTCAAAGCTTCAGAGTCTCAAGTTTCAGTGTATCAACGGTAGCTTGGGGCTTGGAGTGGGCTTTGAAGTTCGGCTTCGGGGGCTCTAGTGATTCCAGTGGGAGGGTACGTGCCTAAGCAGACAGAGCTGACCTGTCTTTCCTCGGTGTTTGGTGCAGATCCCCCGACCTGCCGATGCAAGAAATCCAAGAGCCAAGCCTTCAACGCCTTCACAGATCGAGAGGCTTGGGAATCTCACGACAGGACCTTCACTCGGGGTTTCGGCTGGAGGACGAAGTTGAACTAAGGCAAAGCTCTCCAATCCTTCCGCGACTTCTCAGTTTCAGGCAGTGCTGAGGCCGGACCAAGGTGTTCTTCTCCCAAGGATTCTGAAGTTCAGGAGGTCGAGGGCACTGTCCCTGCTCAAAGCCTTAAGACCGCAGGTAGATGGTGGGGAGGCCTTCGCCGTTAGGTCATTGATTGTAAACGCTTCCGGTCGTCCGTTTTGGGTTGGTCGCAGGTGGAGAGTAGTCTCCACAAAAAGGCCCATCAGGGCGGGTTCCACCGCCTTCAAGTGCAACTTTAAGTAAGAGGAGGGGAAGAGGTTCCCGGAACGGAAGGAGGGAACCTCTGACCACTTCGGCCAGGGCTGATGCTTCTTAATCAGTGGGATGTTGCAGACAAGCTTCGTCGTGCGAAAGCTTCTGAAACTTCCCTGCAATCGGGCACAGGCTTTGGAGATTGACCGCTGCGTAGCAGAGCGTCGACTTCTGCAGGGCTCCTGGTGCTTTCCGGGCTCTGAGTTTGCAAAGCTCATGCCGGTACATATCGTCTTGGAAGACCGGCCTCTCGTTCCCACGGATCGGGCAGTACGATCTGAGACGGTCGGCGATGGTCTTGGTTCACGGCTTGGAAATTAAAATTGTGACCAGGGTTTTGCTGGCATGGGGGCTTTTGCTCGAAGCAGGGGCTTGTCATTTGCCGCGAGTAGCTTGGGTTTCGATTCGAGAAGTGTGATTTAGACAGACGCTACATGACCCAATCGACGATCGTTCAGCACATCACCTTCGCACTGTAGGCTCCCAGCCGGATCTGTACGAAACTGAGCTGCAAGGTTTCTCGAATGGTGTCTACACCCGAAAGCATAGCTGCTAGCTAGCTATGCCTAGACTACAAATTTGAGAAACTGCGATGATAATTCGAATGTACATCCGGGGGTCCTCTGACGGCAAATGGCAAGGAAGAAAAAAAGATCACACGGAGCATGTTCTGTGGAGGAAGTCACCTCTCGCTTTCTGCTTTGAACAGTAGCGAGCAAAATTGAAAGCTAAACCCGACCTACGTGATCACCCCGAACTCTGAATGCGTTAGACTTTCCAGTCCTCACCGATGAGACCCATACGACCTGACATGCTAAACAATTTCGGAACACACCAGCTTTTGGCTGAAGTGTTGTTAAAATCCATCAGATCAAAAGGTCAAGTCGGAAAATGGTGATTGTTTAGTTCTGTGCGACTGTCTTTGAGACTGTTCGGAGTTCATGACGCCAGTCAACCCTGACCCCCGTGCCTTTCACCTGCTCTCGCCTCGCTTTGATCATATGTAACACATCACGAGCATCTCAGGGAGGAGACCTGGCCCTGCGCTGTTGCCCGTCCCACGAAGGCATTCCCCAGGTATGTTCGCATGCCTCGATCCAATCTGTCGCGGAATCTAGACTCGAGGGGTGAGCGATAGATTCTCGGGACCAGTGCGGGCCGAGGTCTTGAATCTAAAAGAGCTTCTCGAAGTCTGAGCCCTGGAAACTATTGCTGAGTTTGGCATCCTCAAAGTGCTCAGAGCTGGACCTCGACACCATACACTTCCCAAAGCCACTAGAACGCCAACCCGCTTAACTCGAAGTTCTTCCTGTACCTTGGCGTATGCTTCCAGGCCTGAAAGTCTGATTCCGAGCTGACCTCGGTATCCTGCGCTCGTTCGTTTTTTGTGCGCACGCGCACTAGACCATTCGCTCTCGCCATGGTTGTCCACGTGGTATTCGCTGCCGGAATCCTGTCGACTGCTGCCCCATGGTTCGCGGCACAGAAGCTGTAGCTTGTGGGCTCCAGATATTGCTTCAGGTTCGGATGCCTTTGAGTCATGTTCGCCATCCCGTTTTGGCCTCACGGGTGTCAGAAGTTGACGGACAGTGGCGCCCTTGGGCCCGTGACATTTGTAAACTGCTGACGGGCACTGCAGGTCGGCTGTGCTGCCAGAGAATGCCATGCTCGTCCCAGCATCTCGATCGAGCAAGCACTGGAACACCCGGCATCCTGGGACAGTTGACATGTAGCCAAGCGTTACGGCCTGCATTCCGCACACCATGCCTACATCTTCGTCTGGGCTCGGGCACAGGGCTTTATTGCTGTGAGGGTTCTGGGTCGTAACATGGTAAGGGCTTGTGCGGCGAGTGGAGTGGATCGTCCTCTTGGCAAAGCCGAGGTGGAGTACCGGCCGTTCAGCAGCAGCAAACCCGAGGCAGCTGTTGACTTCGCTAGCACGGCGGCGCTGAGGCCCAGAGTAGGATCACGGACAGCGGTTGCATCCAGGTTGTTTTGCATGTATGTTTGGGAGTGGCAGGGAATGGTGCATACGTGATTCTTTGGCATGCATCTCTTCCCGAAGTCAGCTCAAGCCTGTGCTCCATTGCTGCGTGGAGGGCTTGATCTAGCCTGTCGCCTGAGAAGGATGCAGGTGCCCTTGTTGACATCATCCGTGCAAGCTGTAAGGCCCGTATTGTCGCCTGTGGTCGACAGCCCCTGCATGGCACATGCTCAGCTGCAGGGTCTCTTGTAAGTTCAGCACGGCGTGAAGAGAATGAGGCTCAACAGAAAGAGCGAGCGAAGAGCGACCAGCAGCAATGAGAGATGGACGCGCTCCGAGGGACCAACGTTTTACCCCCAAAGTAAGGATGACGACATCGACCCCGTACCAACAACTAATGCTACCACGTTGCCGGCCTAGCCTCGCACCGCGAGCAGGATTTCTGTCTAGTTAGTCAGGCACACTGTGTTGACTGCCCACCGTCCTGCCGCAGTGGACCCGCACGGAATTGCTGCCACGAGGTATACCGGCCGGCTCAGACTTGATCAGACAGTGTCAAACAAGTGGCGCTGCCAAGAGTTTTCGTGTCAACGGCACGATCGCATTAATTTTGTCTGGGTCCGCCGCTGGACAGTCACTCGTTTCTGGCACCGGGGTTTCATCAATCGTCCGGCGAACCCGGGTAAGAGGAGTTTGCCAACCAGTTTCATCAGCTGATTGCGCAGCCACCTTCGCTCCGAACTGTCATGAACCCTGCACTCGACTCGCTGTGCCCCAGAACGCGAAGCCCTGCCAGGCTTCTGTCAGAAGCCTTGAACCTGTCCGCTTCCAACACTACATATGCGTTGGCCGGCCATTCTGCCGGAGGTGCGGCTGCCTCTCGGCCTTGGTTGCGGAAAGCGTTTTGTACGTCGAGTTTGCCCAGTTCACTGTTTTTTCCGTGACACGGGCCGGGTCTCAAGAGAAGTAGCCACCGAGGTTTACCAGAGCCTGGACTTCTTGGCTCTGCTCACAGAGGACCCGAGCCGGGGCTTCAAAGAAATCCTCGGCCTGGCGGAAAGCTGCCTGCCGGAGCCCGAGGTGGCAGAACCCAAATAACTTCTTCGGAATTGAGCAAAGAGAAAGCCTGGAAAAAGTCAACCTACTCTCCAACTCCCTACCAACCCTGGGCACTCAAAAACATAGATTACACCAGATCCCCCCGTGCTGTTTCAGCATGATTGGGTCCGATGCACAAGACCTTAGTAGACCTTTCAACTTCCAGAGCCCTTGTGATTTTATACGAGCCCACAACGTCGGAACCCTTGGCCCTATTCTGCAGGTGGAAGAGCTGAAGGGGCGACTGGCGAGGACGACGAGACCACTGCTGCCCGTGGCAGTGCTTTCATTCGAGGGTTCCTCCGCTGACTTTTGATGATGCGAAACGAGGCTTCAAACTTGGGATCTGGATGCTATTATCTTCTTCGCAAAAGCTATTGAAACTCGAGAGCACACATAAGTTGCACGAGAGTTGCTGTTGTCGGTTCAGCCCTTTTGCCTACAATCAGAAAGACACTTCTTCGTGAGGCTCGCTGATGCCCTGTGATGTCGATGGGTGGGCAGCAGACTGGGCGCTCAGCACGACGCCACCCAAAGGCGAACATTGGATTCAGGCGGCACTCGAGGCCTTTCGTGCAACAAGCCATGCAGAAAGCCATTGCGATAGACTTTCCAGCTTTGTCTCATCCAAAATCCCAGCAAAATGCTCGTATGTCCTGGAGAGGATCCGGGCTCCCAGTGGACGTGGTTCATGGCCAGAGCTTGCTGCCGCTCCTTGATGGAGCGCTGCGCAGCAGACCCGCCTGTCCACCTGCACAGTATTTCGCGCCCGGGACGACAGCTTCGAGAACGTGAGACCTAAGATGTTTTGTGTGATTTTCGAAGCCCAGGCCAAAGCCGCAGCTCCCCATAAGGCGGCAAGAACGCTGAGCCGAGGCAGTTTCTCTTACTCCCGGCGGGGCCACGCTTCTTCTACGTGGCAGGAGCCGAGAGCAAGAAGCGCAACGACGTTGTCTTCCCTGCTTTGAAGAAGGCTTCTGCGGGCTCTCCTGGAAGGTTGGAGCTCAAACAGATCCCACATGCGGGACACAACATGCACCGAGATGCGCCCGAAGCTGCCACTCGTTGCCAGATCAATAAAGCCTTCTCCTGTTTTGTCTGGGGTAGCCAGCTGCCAGCTGCAGCTCCAGGCTGACTCTGACACTTATTGAGAATCTGAAAAACGGCTGAAATCAGACAGAATCTTGCAAGAAGCCCGTGTCTCAGGTCAGGCTGATCTTCAGTGAGGCATTCGACCTGCAAGCGACTTGGCCAAGTCCATGAACCAGCATATCCGGTCAACACAAACTTATCGTTGGAAGCTGTACGACCCTCCCAGCATCGGTTCCTGGATGGTTCGCGCCTTCTGTCAAGTTCTACATAGGTGCTGTCACAATGCGCAGCTAAGCCATGCAGGATTCGGACAGTTGCAGTGGCGGGCATGTCAGCAGTTGCATACCGAGCAATCGCCACATTTTCCATGATCAGGCTGTGCTGAACACGGGTCGCTGGTAGCCGCATGCCGAGGCACAGAATCTGGTCTGATCCAGAGGCGGGCTGTGCAATCTTCGTGCAGTAGCACACACAAAGGGAGACACGTCCAGGTCAGTGCAAAAGAACATGTAATCGAATCCGTGGATTCTTCGATGGCGAAAAAGGGTCTGGCCTTTTTTGCAAAGATGCACAGAAGGGCATCGACAACATGACGGTCAAAGGCTCTCGACAGCTTGGAACAGCTGCTCGACAACACCGTGCTGCCTTTCTGTACCACGGTGAATCCTCCAAGACATGCACCAAGCAACAACGCGTTCTGCCGAGAGCAAACAAAGCCAGACGGTCTTTTCCCGTGCAAAGATACATTAAACGCAACTCTTGAATCGGGAAGTACCTGCCTCTGCAACACATGCCAATGCTCCTTCTAGTGGCCGAAGCCCCGCACCCTACAGGCCGCAGCTGCCGCAGCCTGGGCTCGGCACCCAGCGACAGCGCAGCGGACGAAAGGAGCTGACATGAGGATGCGATGAATGGAAGACAAAGGCCTCGAACACTGTGAATCGTAGAGAAGCGAGTTTATACATCCCTATTCGGTTCTGGATGGTTTTCTATAATAAAATAATAAGAAGAAAAAACGGTAATAATAAAATCATGTTTCATGTTTCATTGAAAAATGACAAGAAGAAAAAAGAACGGTATTCAGGGATAAGGACTTTATACGAAGTTATTATATAATTCTAAATTGAGGTATGTTCTATCTAGGAAGCGCTGAGATATAGATACTCATAATATTGCAAAGCAGATAGCCATAGCTCCACGAGAAATAACATAAGAAATATTTATAAGCTGAACGATATTTAGAGAATAATTTGGATTCGTAAACCAATTCGAAACATTTTTATATGAGAGCATGAATATCTATTTCTTGTCTATTGTATCTCGGGAAGAATAATTTTCTATTGAATATAAAGATATATCATATATAAATTATAGAATATAGGATTTCTTCATTTTATATTAATATATTTGAAAATTTTTTTATATAGATAGATTTTCTTTTTTATCCTAAGATATAATTAAGTTCTATATTTGAGAAATTAAAAGATATAAGAATGAATAGGAGTGGGAAGTTTAATAGGTACTAGAAAAAGATAAGTTTTTGAAATTTCTTATTTCAAGGAAATTGGTGGCATTTTTTGAGGTCATATAAGATTTTTGAAGATTATTAAATAATATAATAGTAATGAATTAAATAAGAAATACGATTTATTATTCTAAATTAATAAATAATTAGGATTGTGTGATCTTAGTAAGAACCCGTCCGGGTCTGGAGTTTCTCTTGGTATTTCTTTTAATGATTTCGATTTCTTTCTAATATCCGCTTTTTTATATATTCTTAATATTATTACTGATGAATTTCTATTTGTTAAAGAAACTCTTCTTCGAATTAATTAAATCTCATGTCTTGTTATTCGGTCAGCGCAAAATATATCGATATAGGGAGCGAAAATCTAGATCTTCAAGCCTTTGAAAATTATATTCTAGCTTTGCCTAATCTTTCAATAATTCTTAAAATTTTCAGCACCGAATTCTCGCCTTTCCATGGCGGAGAATAGGAGCAAAGAAAAAAAAAATATTTTTTTTGAGAAATTATCTATAATTAATATCTATGCTTATTAATCTCTCCTCTTCTCTATAAGATCATTCAAAAAATTTCCAATTAAGCGAAAGCTTTAAGAGAAGGATTTATTTAAAGATATCAATATATACGGTAAAATTCGGTGCTCTAAAGCGGCACATAGATAGAATATAATATCTATTACGTTATAAATTTCTAGATAATTATTAATTATTCAATCTTTATTTTGGGAGTTCTGGTATAGATTCTAGACCCAGGAATTATCTGATCTTCAGCCTGTCGATTCGGACGCGAGTGAGGCCTATCTATTTCATCAAGTCTGGGTTTGCAGGTATTCCATATATTCTGAATTCGTGGTCATTCTAAATATTCTAAATATAGAAAGATTATTTAATGGATTGCAGGAATTATTATAAAAATATATATCATAGATCTTCGAGATTCAAAATAATATATCGAAAAATAGATTTTTTCTATATAAGAAATAGGTGCTATTTGCCTCCTACAGAGAATTATTGGAAAATTCGATAAAATATAGATTTTTATTCAGTGAAATGGCATATTTTATCTTTGTTGGAAAATTTATTTACTTCAGTTATATATATCGAAAATCTATATTTAATTGACGATTCATTTGAAAGATTGATTTTATCAATTAGGATCTGAAATATTAATATCAAATCTATATCAATATCTCCAGAAAGTGACCAAATTATGAAATATCAAAAGAATTCAAATTTGAAGAAGGAAAAATAAATCTAGTTAATTTCTTAGAGAATTCAAATTTTGGATAGTGAGAGAATCAAAAGAATTATTTAGACCTAATCATGAAAAAGATATAAATTCAATTTCGTCGTGAAATCGTCAGACCCTGCCGCGAGAGAAAAATCCAATATCTGGCGGAAGGATTTAGCATATTCTTATTATATATATAGCATATGAATAGGATCTGAATCTATATTTCAGATATTATTATAGAGATTCTATATCATATCATGATTCTTAATTCGAAAAAATATTTATATAGGATCTCTAAATCTAATTTCAAATTTCTTTTGAATCCCTATTGCAGAAAATAAAGGTTTTCTGAATTTATTTTCCCGGTATTTAAATTATCAATAAGATTAAATTTGGCAGAGGAAAGGGAATTCTAGATCTTCCTATATATTGAATCAGATTGATAGAATCGTCTAGATGAGATCCAATTAATTGGCGTGGTATTCTTATCCTTGACGAGGGAGTTCTAGAAGATTTATTTACTTATAGAGATGAATTTATATTTTCAGGCGATAAGAAATAATTTCAAATCTGATTATGATTTAAGCACCATAGCAGTGCCGCATACCCTCCACAGAATTGAGATGCGAAAACCAGCCCCTATTTCGGATCCCAAATCCCCATGCCTGGGCAAGTTTGGAAGGGACGACTATGTCTATCGAAGAAATTTATAAAGTGATCCCGTTCATAGATATTCTCGTTGAGAATTTTAGGAATTGAAGTCCTAATAGTGGATTCAAGACTTATAATGGCCCAGCAAAATTATATCGAAGAAGATATATATTTCAGTGACGTGAAATCTATTGTTTTGATCCCATCTATACGATCTTATTTTAATTAATTCTCTTAATAGATGAATCTCTAGTCGAAAAATTCGATCGGATAGCTAAAAATCAGAGAAATTCTATCATAAAGCCCCGATACCAAATTTAATTTATTTTTTATCAAATTGCTTTATCAAAAATAGTTTTATCGTGCGGAAAGATACCAAATAAATACTAGAATATAATCGGTTTCATACAAAAATAATATTTTTCTTAGAAAATTAATAATCTATAAAATATCATCTCTTTCAATAATTATATTTCAAAGAAATAGAAATTATATTAGAGTTCTAAATCGATTATCATTATTAATTGCAAATCTTAACGAATCTAATATCTAAGAAAATAAATCAATTATTAAAGAAAGTAAATATTTTACCATGAACCTCAAATTAAATATAATCAGGAATTAATAAATTATATAATAAAAAAAATTTAATATCAAATTCTCGATTTCTCCAAATAAAAAATTTAAAGAGAATTCGATCATGATCAATAAATATATCATACCAATAACGTCAAAAATATCTAATCAAACCCCAATAATTACTATCTAAATAAACGAAATAACAATATATAATACTATAAGATAATACGACGATAATCAGACGTCACGATACGACACTTAATAATATAATAAACGCGCATATGAGAAGACTAGAAATATTCAAAATATATTGAGATAATCTGAATATGAATATAAAATCGAAAAAATATTAGTAATTTCAAATATATCTATTGTATTTAATATAGATTCCTGTAATTATGAGAAACTCTTGTATAATATATTTCAATCCGCCGGCCCCGCTTGTTGGGGTGAGCGCCATTGAAGCCCGCCTCCCCCCCTCTTCCCTCCCCCACACCCCCCAGTTTTGATTACGAAATGTTTCTTGTTGTGCTAGTTTAAAAATGACACGAAAACGCGTTCAATTCGTAAAAATGCTCCTCGCCTGGGACCTCTGCCCCTATCCCCTATTCCGTTTTGACCCGAAGCTGCTTTGCCCCTACATCCGCCTCGCTTTGACCCTCCCTTACCCCCCGACCCCCCCACCCCGGCCCCCCCGGGCAGCTTCATTGCTATTCGCCCTCGCCTCGCGAATGCAACCAGTTTTCTGTTGCAATGGCGGGAGGTGACCGAGCCTTTGTCGACGTCTGAAGCGAATGCACAGGCAGTGTATGTGCTGACAGTATCCCTCCTGATTCTTTCCGTGAGCTTCGTCGTGTCTTTTCGGGTATTCTGACATCCTCCGGACTATCTTGTGTCGAATTCTTTACATTGCGGCGGTCAACTCTACAATGCCCCGCCTCCCTCCGTCGAGGTTTCGAGGCCTGGCCCCCTAAGCCGATCCCCTGTGCGGGGTCGGCGACAGCGGCACAGCCCTTAAATCGGGCAGCGCTCGGTCCCCGAGCGCTTGAGCCTGCTGGTCCGAGCCTCAGGCGACCTGTAGCCTTGCTTGCTTTGCTTTGGCAAAAGGCGCGACCGCCCGTGCCGCCGACACCACCTAATTTAGAGTCTTTTTGCGTAATTTCGGGGTCGCCATGGGTAGCCTGCAAAGGCGCCCATCATGAGCATCAGCGGGGTTTGGCCAGGGGAGGGGTGGGTGGCCTTAGCCTTGCTCCAGACTTCTACCTGCGCTGCCCGCCGGTGGGCGCAGCCCCTAGAATCATGAATAACTAGTCGATCGATAGAATGGGATGAAATATGTTAATATGCAATAGAAAATGATGTTTTCATATGTAGTATGTAATATCGGTATCAGATGTAAGAACCATCAACCCTCCCCTCCCCTGTTTATGAATCTATACCGCATCAGCGATAGATGTCGTCTGCCTGGAGGAAAGTAGCGGACTTCGTATTTGGCAAAAGCCTTTTGATCTTGACTACCTCCAACTGAAGACGTAGTTCAGAGCCATCAACCGCGGGTTTGGGATTTCAAGGTTTTGTTTGCTACATGCAGCTCCGACACTGTTTGATGACGTGTTCAGAATTCAAGGAAATGGAGCTTGGGTTTTTCTGCTTTGGTATTTATGCACGGGGGTTGCTCTCCCGCCGGCCTGCACGGCTGATGGTGTGAACGCCACGTAGTCGGAGACTGCCGCCCGCAAGTATTCCCTGCGTGCTGCCTGTGCTGCATGATGGCAGTGCTTCGGGATTTGAACCGGGAGTTAATGCAACCGGGGCCATGTTGTCGACAGCGACTTGCAGACAAGCTTGCGCAATTCAATTTACACTGCTGCGACTGCGAAGAAACGAGCCTCGGTCTCCAACTGATTCCACTCAGACCTCTGGCAGAGTTGCAGCGGTGAGACTCGTGAAACTCTTTGCTCCCAGACTGAGCAATCCTAGCCACCAAAGGTCTCAATCTGCGCACAATCCTAAGGCTGAGATGGGCATGAGATGGATGACAAGATGAAGCATCTGGGAGCAGACATACCGATGGATTTTGATGGTGACTTACCCTTGCAGCTGGCAAGGCGAATGAAGGGAGCATGATCAAGATGCTCTTGAATCTTTTCACACCTGCGCAGACACACACAGAACTTGAAGGACTTGAGTGCACCTCAGGGCATGATTGAATGCGAAGTGGGGGCCGGTGTCCGTCTTGCGGAGTGCTAGGACTCCATAAGGTAACATGCATGGTTTTGGAGCCTGTCGTGGGATCCTCTGTGAGGATCGCGCATCCTCTAGCATCAAAAGATTGGGTCTAGGATTCAATGGCTGCCTCAAGATGAAAGAAACCGTGACATGCGCTGAAAATCTTCACAACGTGGGGCGAAGAAGACTGCATCAACGGTCAGACTGGCTACCGTCTCTGAACCTGAACCTGTTCCCTAAAACCCTGCTGCCCTGCAGCATCATCTTGGCCGCCGGCAGCCAAATGATGCAGGGCCGGTAGCCCATTGTCTGCACATGGCGTAGCTTTTGAACCTGAGCTGCACACACGTATGAGCTTGTACTAGTGATGCAACCATGTTTGTAGGTCTCAAGACTCTACTTCTTTCCATCCAACAAAACTTCACAGTACGGGCTTGTGAGTTCAGAAAGATACGGAACTTAGCTCATTCGGGTGAACAGATATAAAGGCCTATAAAGTCAGCCCTCTCTGCGGCAGCTTCGTCAACTGCTTCTCCTTGCCACAGTGATTCCAGCGTCTTCCCTAGGTTCCATGGTTCCGAAAACAAGGTTTCTTGATTTAGCTTCACTCGTCTCAGGCGCCCACGGCCCCCCGGAACATGAAGCGGAACCTGAGCTCAGTCGGATGGGAGTAGGGTTTAGGGCTTTAGGTGGCCTCGTCTTCACTGAAGATCTGGGAATTCGGCGTGGGTTTGATTTCAAGGCACTGGGTCACATCAAGTACTAGGCAGGGCCAAGAAAGCTGCTCCAACATTCTCTAGGCCTCTGCCGCTCGATGCGTCTCAATGCCTTTTCCGGGGCGATGGCTCATGGCATCGGTTCTGGCCCGCGAGGTCCTGACAGGATTTCCGCAAGGAGCCACCCCGGTTGATCTGAAAACGCTTGCCCTTGACTTGGGCTTCGAACATGGGGCTGATCTCAAAAGGCCTGTCGCTTGTGCCTGATCTTCCTACCCATCATGATACTGTACTTCTTGTCATTGGGTCCTGCTGTATGTATGCAAAAACTGTTCTGCACTGACGTGTCGCTACGCTAAGAGTACGACTACGACGACGGCGCCAACCACCGCTACTTCTGCTGCTACTGCTATTGCTACTGCTGCCACTGCTGCAGCTGCTGCTTCTACCGCTGGCACGGCTGCCGCTGATGCAGATGCTACAGCAGGCAGGGTTCCTTCTCAAGGTACTTCATTCAGCGCCCAACTGAATGCTAACGGCTAACGTATGAACCAAACACCTTTGATCACTTAACCCGACCGCAGAACACTTTCCCAGAGCTGCCTGCTTGCTGCAGGGCCCCGGACCCTAGAATACACAAGTCCTGGCAGACCCAAACCACCAGTAGTAGTAGTAGTAGTAGTAGTAGTAGTAGTAGTAGTAGGAGTAGGAGTAGTAGCAGCAGTAGTAGCAGCAGCAGTAATAGAAGAAGAAGTAGACATGGAAGTAGTAGAAGTCGTCGTAGTAGTAGAGG